AGAAACCAGTCAAAATTCTCCTCAGGAGTTTTGTTCGGCCAGGCTGTGTGGCCTCCATGGCCCAGAGGAACATCTGCTGGTCACAGCATTTCCTCAGCACTGTCCTCCCCACTCAGCTCCTGCCCAGTTTACATCTCCCTCCCAGCTCCTGCCCCCAGCTCTTGCTCTCACCTTGCTGAAGAGCTCCTGCAGCGCTGCCTCGTCGGTGATATCCAGCTCCTGGAAGAGGATGGGCTGGCGCACGATCTCTTGCACACGCCGGAGGCTCTCGGGGAGCGAGTCTGCCCCTGGGGAGATGGAAGGGGGGAGGCACTGGGATAGCTGGAGATCCTGGCACAGGCTGAGAGTGTTGAAGCCCCTTGCCTGGGGAGGGATGAAGGCTCTCCGTACCTCGGATGGCATTGTGAAAGTTGTCTATGACCACAGGGACATAACCAGCCTCCACCAGCTCCAGCACACAGTGACTGCCGATGTAGCCAGCTCCGCCGGTCACCAGGATCTTCTCTGCCATGGCTGCCTGAGGGAGGAGAGGCCTGTCAGCACAGAGCACGGTGTGAGGCCGTCTGAGGTGGGTACAACAGCCAGGGGCCCCAGGAGGGGCAGGACTTGGCCACTGTCACGTCAGCACTGCCTCTGGGCACTCCCTGTGCTCGGCCTGGCCAGCCCCAGGGCTGCATCCGGAGGGGAACGGGCTGGGCAAGTTGCTGACGTGGTTCACACCTACGGGACAGGGAGGGTTTGTCAGACACTTGTCACATACCAGGAAAACCCTTGTTCTTCCTGTTAGAACCATAGAATCACCTGGTTGGAAAAGGCCTTTGAGATCATCGAGTCCAACTGTACCTGTCCACTGCTAAACCAGATCTCTGAGCACCTCATCCACCCGGCTTTTAAATCCCTCCAGGGATGGGGACTCCACCACTTCCCCAGGCAGCTTGTTCCAGTGCCTGAAAGGAGGAGTGGCTGAGGGAACTGGGGCTGTTGAGCCTGGAGAAAAGGAGGCTGAGGGGAGACCTTGTGGCTCTGTGCAAGTCCCTTAGAGAGAAAAAACCCCCCCCTGCCTCTCTCCACCCTCCTATAGTTAAATCCAGTCAGGATCCTGGTGTCACCCATATCCTACAGCACAAACCCCTCAGGCTAATTCACCCCTAGCACAAGGGCAGGGAATCATCTACGGCACTAACTTGGGTGGTCTCCTCGAGGGGCATCAGCTCTGTCCTCTTCCCCCCATTCCCTGTCTGTAACTCCAGCTCTGCCACAGTCCCAGCACTCCCTCCAGCTTCCCTTCCCTCGCCCCGTTCCACCCCAGCTTCCCAGGAAGGTGGGCATCACACAGAATCACAGACTGGTGGGGTGGGAAGGGACCTCAGGAAATCATCTAGTCCAACCCCCCTACCAAAGCAGGTTCCCTCTTCCTCCCAGGGGAAGCTCCTTCTGGCACAGCTGTGAGATTTCAGAACCTTTGGTTAGAAAGAAGGAGCAAGGAGCGGTGAATCCCCCTTTTCCATGGGGACACTGGC